ATATTAAATTAATATAAAAATTGACATATATAATTTACATAAATAAAATTTTTAATATAATAATTAATTTAAAAAATATTAATTAAAAATAAAATTTTTAAATAAATATTTTCAAAAAAATTAAAATAAAATTTTTAATATAATAATTAATTTAAAAAATATTAATTAAAAATAAAAATTTTAAATAAATATTTTCAAAAAAGTTAAAAATAAAATTTCTATCATACTATCCTCTTATAATTTTAGTACATTTAAAGGGAATTTTTTTCAAAGATATTATGGAGATTCAAAACTCTAATTAATTAATTTAAACGTTTTAATTAATTTAAACGTTTTAAGATTTAAAGGTAAATTATTTGAATATCAAGTCCCGATGCTTTTCCCAAGTTATAATGGCATTACCCTTAGTCCTTACCCCACGTGGTGTCCCCTTCATCAAATTTTTTTTTCTTTAACAAAAATAATAATTAATAAATTAATTTTATTAATCGTTAATAATTAAAGATTCGATTGCTAAATCTAATAAATATTTTACCTCCCTTAATAAAGTACACGACCATGAGGTAGTTTGGTGGGTTCCCCTTCATCAGTTTTCTTTTTTTTTTACAAAAATAATAATTAATAAATTAATTTTATTAATTGTTAATAATTAAGGATTCGATTGTTAAATCTAGTAAACATTCCACCTCCCTTAATAAAGTGCACGACCATGAGGCCCTTTGGTGGGTTCCCCTTCGTCAGTTAACCTCAGTCAGCCTGAGATTTTTTTTTCATTATTATAAATAAGGTAGTTACATTATCATTACATATTTTTCTAAAAACAAATTATAATTAAACTTATTATATTAAAAGAAAGTGAAAAATAAAAATCATTGAGACTTAAACTTTCAATATGAGAATATTTTCCCATTAAAACCAAATGAAAATCCATTCCGCCTATGCGTGCGGAACCATTATCATTACATACTAAAGAAATAAAAAAAAATTAAAATTAATGATTAAATTTATAACTAAGGTCGAGATGCCAAACCATTCAACATGTATTACTACTAAATTAAGATATACAGATGAGGGGTGGTATTTTCTTGTTGTGATTTATTGGTAACTATTGCAGTACAACAATATTGTTGATAGGTTATATTTTGATTAGTGTTCCAATTTTACTAAAAGTAAATACTAACATAATTTTTAATTATTTTTTCTGTAAAAAAATAAAAATAAATAAAAAAAGATGAGGGATGGAAATATGGGGCGGGGCCTACAAAGTAATTTAATACCGTGTAGAGTTTTTGTAATTTTCTTTTTTTCTTGTGATTAGAATTAGATGATGTACTACTGTACTAGCAAGCTGTAATGAGTGTGTTCGGGCTTACTTTTCAACTTAAAGGTAGCGGGACGGAGTCAAAATTTTAAGTTAGAAAAGGTATAAAGTTAAATTTTTTTTTTTATAAATTATTTATTAATTTATATTAATTTTTATATTAATTATTCATTTTGTATATGTATCATTTAAATTATAAATGTAACATTTTTAATTAATTAAAAACGTTTAGTTTTATTTATAAATTATTTATTAATTTATATTAATTTTAAAATTAATTATTCATTTTGTATATGTATCATTTAAATTATATATGTAACATTTTAAATTAATTAAAAACGTTTAATTTTATCAATATAATTAGATATATTTAGTTATTTTTAAAAGATATATACTTTAAAATTCTTAAATAAATAATATAAAAATATCATTTATTTTTTTAAATAGCTACTTATATCAAAACAA